TACCCTGTCCACATCCAAGCCAGAGGGGGGGTGAGGGGGCTTCCTTTTGCCTAAAGGATTGTTTTCTCTCCTCTGGCTCACAGCTCCAAGTGGGCCCTTTTGTTTCTTGTCTGCTCCTCCAGCATCCAATTGCCCCCCTTTCCTTTCTCATACCTTCCACCCAGCTTTTCTGGGCCTTGCCTCGGGCCTTTGAGCAGGGCTGGCAGGCCCTTTCCTCTGCACTCAGGCCCTGGTGCTCTTTGACTTGAAACCTCTAAAGGCAATCTGTGCTCCCTGCACAATGTGGACCCCAGCGCTGCTCCGGGCAGTCTCTCAGAAGATTAAACAGATAGCGCATGCAAAGCACTTAGCACATGGCCGGCCTGCTTCTGAAAAGCTCTCGGCAACTGACAGGGAAGCAAACTGTGAGAGAAGTGCTCTTTTTCATGCCTTGCTTCTCTGCGCTTCCTTATATGGGATCTTCATCAATCTGGAGGTAAGCTAGGGCCACCAGAGCAAAAAGGCCGAGGAAAGCCGCGGGTGTGGCCACCTGGTTTTGCAAGGGCCAGGTTTGAGGACACCGTGAGAGGAAGAGCCTGGCAGCAGGCAGTCAGAGCCCACACTTTATAACCCAGTGGGAGACCAGTGCCTCTCCACCCCGCCTTGCAGAGCCCATCAAGGGGAGATGCCCGGAGGAGGTCAGCTGGGGTCAGTCCTCTGTGCACCGGCTCTGCGGATGTCAGGAAGGCCAGCTCCAGATGGCTGCCTGGCGTGGGTGGAGGATGGACTCTGGTGGGGAGAGAGGTGCTATACTCTTGGCTCTGTCCCCTGGGACCCTGTCGCCTCAGCCCCAACGTCTTTTCCAAAAAGGATATCCACAAGCCCCCACCCATCCTGCCAAAGTGGGGGGGTCCCAATATCGAGGGGCAGGGCTTGTGGAAGAGGACGTGGGTTCTTCCGGACGGCAGAGCATCTGGTTTCCAATGGGAGCTTGTGGGGTTCCCCAGGGGGGCAACGGGGCTCCTCGCCCCGTCCCAACAAACCCCAATTGCCTGCTCCCTGTCTGTGACTTTCTCTATTCTGAAAGTGACATAGCCCCACCCTGGCGGGGAGCTCAACCCCATGACTTGTTTTGGCCAAACGGCACCTAAACTCAACTGCCGTCCAGTCGACAACGCCACAGGTGGACCTGCTTCTGCGGGTTGCCGAGACTGCAGATTGGCCTCGCTTTTGTGATTCAACCACATGAGCGGCGTTGGGTCAAATGGCACAGGCCCCGATGTAGGACTAGGCCTTCAGCTATAACCTATGGCACACAACAGATGTGATCAAGTGCACCCTGCTTGTTAAGGAGCCCCGGTGGCACCAAGGGTGACACGGGGTTGTAGTCAAGGTTGGTAGTTCAAACCTGCCAGGCGCCACATGGGAGAAAAATGAGACTCTGCCCTCAGCCTGACCCCACAAGGACAGTTCCACCCTGTCCTATAGGGTCGCAAGGAGTCAGCATGGACTCCCCGACAGCGAGCTTGGAGTCTGTTACGTTTATGAGGCTGTTATCGGTGTGCCGTATCTTACACCGAACCACTTCTGAGACACGGAGCAGAGAGAGGAAACCAGAACTGAGGACAGAGGTCACCGAGGGAGAAAGAAAAGAAGTGGAGAGTCAAGGATCTTCCCACAGAGCCGAGACATCCTCCACCCCAACCCGTGAACCGGTGCCCTGAATTTGAACGTCTAGCCTCTTGAACGATAATAAAATGGTTTGTTGACTTCACCCACCTGTGGTATTTCTGTTGAAGCAGCACCGGGGCACTAAGACAAGCTCCCTACCAGGATTTCAGTTATGGGTTTGGCTGGGGGTGGGGTGGGGGGTGTCTTATGCCGATTCAGACCTTTTCGGGGTTTGGTTTGCAGCCTTCTGGTCACATTGCAGCACTAGCTAGTAGCCTCTCACGTGTCCTTTTGCCATTACACTGGCCGGCGCCAGTCTCTGCCACTTGCAAACCCCCAGCTGATGCGTGTCAGGGAGGCCCCAGACGATGCTCCGGATGCCCTGCGAAGGGCTGAAGATTGGAGTGAACCCCTTGGAAGAAGGGCTAGAACTACTTCCGAAATGCCAGGCACCGGAGCCTCAGGGGACAGAGCTGCTTGCTGAGGGGATGGAAAACAGTGGGAAGGGTTTAATGGGGATGGCGGAGGGCCAGGAAGAAGGCCAGCGAAGCGTGCATGGGAGCAGAGCTGGAGAAGCCCGTCCCATTGGGCATTCACTCTAAGGAGCAAAATGTAAAGTCCTGAGCAGCTTCCTCGGACTCACACGGAGTCACCATGGTCTTGCCGGTAACTTTGCCAGGGGCTCTTTGAAGGCACATTCAGCCATTCGTCTCTCTGGCGGCACAGGGACCGTCGGGTTCTTGTAACAGGAAGCCAGAGGTCGGGCCTGGCAGTGTCCTGGTTCCAGGGTTTCCCCGATGGGCATCTCGGTGCCTCTATTAACTTTCTCCTTGTGGCCGCAAGGTGGCTGTGGAAGCACCTGGCATTGAGTCCTCAGGTGAAGCAATGAAGGAAAGATGGGGGCCACAGGGTTTTTCCATCACCCAGACACCCCCACCCCACAGCCCCTTCCTCCCTGCCCCTGCTCAGAGCTGGCTGGCCAGATCTGGGAAGGGTGCCCAGATCTAAAACAACCAGCCAACACCATCGTTAAGATGGGCTGCACCCTATGCGCATCACCCCCAGACACAGCCACACTGCTGGCACCTCACAGGCCAGGGGCAGGGGGTGAGCCCAAGGGGCCACCAGCAGCCACAGGATATTGGGAAACGCCAAGCAGGGCCCCTGAGTGCATGGATGCTGCAGCCTCCCACCCTGGCTGCTGAAATTGACAGGGTGATGGGAGCTAGGATCTCACTTCCCACCCCCAGGATGCTGTAGGACAATGTCTCGCTGTGTGCTGGGCAGCAGACACAAGCCAGGTGCCCCTCCTAAGCCGAGCTCAGCTCCAAGGCCGCTCGCTCTGCTCCCGTCTTGGGAATGAGCTGGAGCTGCGCCCCCGGGAGGCAGCCAGGGCGGATCTGAGCCGGCCAGGTCGGAACAGGGCCCATCATGGGCCCCAGAGGCCCAGCCCACGTCACACTGCCCCCCTCCCCCTGCGGGCTGGTCTCCACCCCCCAGAGGCCTTTCCCACAGGCAGGCCAGGTGCGGAGGGAGGCCGCCAGGCCACAGTGAGGAAGCGGGACATCTGGGACCAGACAGCGCACTCAGCCCATCCCACGCACAGCAGGCAAGGAGGCGAGGGGCTCCGGGCCCTTCCGTGAGCCCTTCCATGAGTGTGAGGGCAGGTGGAATAGCAGCCTGCCTGTCAGGAGCGGGCCGGTGTGGTCTCACGCCTGTGTACCTGTTGTGCACTCTCGCGTGAACACAGATGCAAGATTGTCTTATCCGTGTGAAAGAGCCTGGGTGCAAACATGTCCGAGTGTGTCCACATGTGCGTGTGTGAGCAGCATGGTAGTGTGCAGGGGTGTGAGCTTGTCTGCGGCGTCAGCAATCATCTGTGATTAAGTGTGTGCACAGGGGGTTGTGTGTGTGAGGATGTGTGTGACAGCGTGTGGGTGGAGTGCAGGTGTGCCTGCGTCATACGTGTGCATGTGCATGTAGGTCCCCGCCCTTGGGCGCAGATCTGCGTGCAGCAAGTGTGTGTGTTTGTGTTTCTCCCATCTCTGAAGGACACAAACGTTCACAACGTGAAGATTCGAGCCAGTTTCTGCTAAATTAAAAACAGCCTTTTCGTGTTTAAAGTTTACAATACGAAAAATAATTTTCCTTTCTTCCGGGGGTGGGGGGGTGGTTGTGGGAGGGAAGGGAGGGGCAGGGGGCCCGCCGAGAACATTCCATGCACCAGCCCAGACGGTTCTGCACAATCGAGCCGATTAGATACGGCCGCGCCCCGCCCCCGCCCCCCCCTGCCAGCTCATTGGGGACAAGATGTTCTGAGGTGTGAGCTGATCTGGGGGGACTTACAGCTGGCAGAGGCTGCTCCCCACCCCCTGAGGGGGCCGTGCCTCCAATGGGAGAGGGCTCTCTTTGGGGGAACTCGGGTTGGGGGTTGCTACGTGGTGAGACGGGGCTGGAACATTTGGGTAAAATCAAGGCCCTCTGCTTGGGTTCTGACACCCCTGACAGTGTGGGCTCTGGTCCCTTCAAACCCAGTTTCCTATTTAGCCCCTGCCCGCTTGGCCTCGACCCACAGCCTGTCTGGGAGCCTGCTGGAGGGCTCTGGGCCCCACCCCCGCTCTGCAGTGTGTGCCAGGGCTTATGAGGAGGAGGGTCGGGAACGCCAGCCGGGGGCTTGGAGCTCTGGGCCCACGTGGAGGCTGGTGATTCATATTCACTTCAAGGCCTGCCCCACGCAGCCTCGGTAAGAAGCCCGCTCCCTGCGCCCAAGGACAGCCCCCAAAAGTACCCCCCTACCACATCCCAGGTATCCTCGAGGCCAGCCCGACTCCCACCCAGCTAGCCCCCAAATACACGCATGGCGGGCGACCACACCCCGTGGCCAGTCCAGAAACCACGTGAGCTCAGCGCATCGGTGCACACAGCCTCCCCTGGGATTCTTTATTCAGTACGTGGGGAGACTGTGCCACGACATGCACGGAGGTACGAGGTGAGCTGTGTACTGGGGCCCAGGGCGTCGGCAGCCAGTCGAGGGGGGCTGCTCGAGAGACCACTGGAGCTGCCCTCAGAGGTCACGCATCTATCCCCGGGACAGCAGAGCCCACTGCGTCAGAAGTTCTCAAAATGAAGGTCAAGAGCTTCCCAGGCCAACTCAGCGGGCTGGCCTCGCAGAAATCTCCATCCTTCCTTCCAAAAACAGGGAGAGCCTGGGAGGTGGCAGGGGCACGTCAGAGACCAGACCTCAGGAAAACACTGTCGGAAGGAGGGGGTGCAGGAATGTGCTCCTATCACCCACCCCTCAGTGCCCCTGGAGGCCTGTGTGCCCACCCCTCCATCCCCCACCCCCCAAAGGTTCGCATTCAGTTTATTTTGAAAACTCAAGCACATAAGGCCCTTCAGGGGCCTGGGGGAGGGGCCGCATACCATGGCCTTTGGCATCAACATCTGAGTGTCTGTGAGGCCCTGGCCGCTGGGGAGGAGGAGGAGGTGGCAAGGAGGTCAAATGCCTGCCACCACTTCCCAGGGAGGCCACTGGGAGGGCAGAGCTTTGCAGCCTCTTGGCTTCTAGGTTCTGCTGGCAGGACCCTGGGGCACAGGACGGCCCCCAGCGCTACCTGTGCGAATTGGGGACCCGGGGCAGCAAGACGGGGGCGCAGGCAACACCGGCAAAGGACTCTGGGAAGTGCAAGTCGCGCTCCCACTCGTCGGTCTCCGTGTTGTAGACCTGCACCAGCCCCGTGACGTTGTTGAGGCGCCAGTTGTAGCCGCCCACCACGTAGATCTTACGCTCCAGCAGGCAGCAGCCCGCCTCCGACTGGCCCGCCCGCATGGGGCTGACACTGGTCCACTGGTCGGCCTCGGGCACGTAGTACTCCACCGCCAGCACATCGAAGCAGCGGTCCACGTGGTCCATGCGGCCGCCCAGTGCGTACAGCCGCCCGCGGGCGCCCACCATGGCATGCAGCACGCGGGGCTCGCTCATGGGTGCCCGCACCTCCCACTGGTCGGCCACCGGGTCATAGCAGTGCAGCGCCTTCTTGTCCTCCACCGAGATGCCGTAGCCCCCCGACACGTAGAGCCGGCCGCCGGCCGCTGCCCCCGCGTGGCCCCAGGTGCGCCGCTTGAGCGAGCAGGCGTAGCCCCACTCATTGCGGCGCGGGCAGTAGCGCTCCACCGAGGCCAGGCTGCCGGCGCGGTTGCGGCCCCCCGTGGCGTAGACCAGGCCCCCCAGCACGTTCAGCTGGAACTGGATGCGGCTCTCCTGCATAGCCTGCAGCCGCAGCCACTGGTTGAGGTGCGGGTCGTAGCGGTAGCAGGCATCCACGGCTCCCTCCCCACTGCGGTACTGCAGGTGCTGGCCACCCGCCACGTACACGAAGTTGTCCAGCACGGCCACGCAGGTGTGACTGCAGCCCATCTCCATCTCGGCCAGCTCCCGGAACTGGCGGGCGCCGGGTTCAGGCAGCAGGTACACCTTGGCGCTGACGGCGCGGTCGTGGTCAGTGTACGGAGTGCCGCCGAAGGTCATCAGAGAGGGCACGTCTGAGCGCACGGCCGTGCGCGGGGACTGCATCTGGTGTTGCCGAAAGGGCAGCACCTGGTAGTTGAAGGCCTCGAGCAGGTAGCGGCGGCACAGCGAGTCCTCCACCATGAGGTCCAGGGTCTGCACGCTGTCCACCAGCTCCGAGGGCCGCATCAGCGGGAAGCGCACGTGGCACAGCACCTGGCTGGCTCGTGGCCGCCGGGCAGGGTCGTGCTGCAGCCAGCGCACGGCGGCGCGGAACAGGTCGATCTCGGCGCAGCTCTGCAGTTGGTTGCTCTGCAGGAAGAAGACCAAGCGCTCGAGGGGCAAGTGCAGGAAGTCCTCCTCCTGGGAGATCTGCAGGAAGTGCTGGAAGGTGAAGGCGTCCACCGAGGCCCGCAGGGAAGCCAGGCTGAAGGCAGTGGCCATGTGGCCGATGTGCAGGCAGGTCTCCACGCTCATGGCCGCCTTCAGGAACTCCTCGCAGAGCTCCACCACCGGCAGCATCTGCAGGAACACGGCTGCCCCCAGCACGTCCTGCACGCAGTCCAAGTCCAGTGTCACTTCTGCGCTGTAGGCGAAGTCCACGATGTGCCGCAGCCCGCGCGCCGACATGCCTTTCAGCTCCACCATAGCCTGGCCTGCCTCCCGCATGCCACCAGTGAACATGGCCCTGCAGGGGGGACACAAGTGCGGGGTGAGAAAGCCTGGAGGAGGTGGGGCTCATGAGCATGTGCAGGGAAGAGAGTAGAGGGAGGAAGGGGCAAGGGGAGGGGCCTTCCCTGTTGGTCATTAAGTTGGGATGCCACATCATGGGGTGCGGTGGCCCTGTGCCTGCCCAGGGTCTGTTGGGAGGGACTGTAAAGGCACTAGGCACAGCACGCAGGAGGACCCCACCCCCTTCGGGCTGCCAGCCCACCTGGACACTGGTCTAGGAACACCCCCGCAGGGAACTTGGGGTCGGGTGTCGATTCAGGCTGACTGTGGTCCTCAAAGCTCTCGGCACAGCCCCCATCTGTCTACAGGCCTGAAGGAAGACCGTGACCTCTTGGAGTGTCACACAGGACAGAGGCTGCCCATCTCACTTCCCTGGTGGCTGACGGCTCCCAGGGGGGTCACTGCAGTCTCTAGGGGGGCCCTGTGCATAGCTTTGAGGGCGGGGTCCTCAGCCAAATCCCTGCCCTACCCACAGTGTGACCCTAAACTAGGCACACAACTCAGTTTCTCACACCCTTCTGCTCTGGGTGGGAAATGGCGTGAGTTTGCCAGCCCCCTGGGGGAGGCGATGGGGCCCCATCCTCCAGGCAGCATGTGGCTATAGACAGGCATAGCCCCAGCCTCCAAGCCCCACTTCCCAGCAGCACTTGGGGGAACAGCAGCCTCACCCGGGGCTGAGGGCCCAGGAGCGGGTACAGGTCGAGGCCCATCACTGGTGCCGTCCCTGCGCTACTGCGCACACAGGACGTGTACCTGTGAGGCACCACCTGACGGATGTTCAGGTGCCCAGGCTGGGGAGCTGGCTCGGCCATGCAGATCCTGTCCTGGTTCCATTTGCCTGTAGGCAGCCCCCACAGCTGTTCCCCACCCCCACCCCTCCACCCCCAGTGCCTGCTGAGTGCACCCAGGGCCCGGTGGTGGCACGCTGAGTGTTGCCTTTTAAGGTGCGGCCGGCTCCGCACGTACCAAGGAGCGTGAAGGGCACTTTGGCTTGGCTCAGCCTCCCCTTCCCCAAATCCACAGTAAAAATAGATCTGTGCCTCCCCAGGGGCCTCGGCGAGCCATGGGCGGCTGAAGGGGCAGAGCTGGACATGCTGGGGCTCTGGGTTGGGCGCCTGCCCCCACTGAGCCACCGCACGCGAATAAAGTGTCCCTGGCCCCCTGACAGCCCCACTGGCAAGAAGGGCCTGGCCCGGCTCCATGTCCCAGATGGACTGCAGCCCCACAGGCCTCGTCCCTTTGTCCCTTTGGTGGGGGCAGAGCCCCTTGCTTGTGGGGTTACCCTGGGTGGGCCATGCAGAGGTCCCAGGGAGGACCTCAGGAGTAGCTATGGTTCAAGAATCCCCTCTACCCTCCCCACCATCTCCACTCTCCTATGGGGAGTCAGCGTACTCTGCTAGGCCCTAGGGCCAGCTTGGCAAACAGTAGCCATCAAAGAGAGCCATGCCCTGACCCCCCAGGGCACAGGCTGCTAAGAGTGGCCTTGGACAAGCTGCACCTACAATGATTCTGGGAAGTTTAGAGGAAGTGCACGCCCTGAGGCAGGTACCCGTTTCCCAGAGACCTGGGCTTCTCCTGGGATACCAAGGCCCCACCTGCCACCCCACCATGCCCTCGCTCACCGGAAGTAGTCGCTGCAGGCAGCCAGGACCACCTTGTGGGCATGAAAGACTTCAGTGTTGACGGTGAGGGCCACATCGAGCAGCTGGCCCTGGGCACGCAGTGTGGCGAGGCCCTGCAGGAGGCCAGCGCTGTGGCCAGGAGCTGAGAAGGTGCACTTGAGGGCCCCGTGCTTGTCGGCCATGCTGCAGAATGAGCAATCGGGCAGCGGTCAGGGCAGGGTCCCCAGACCAAGCGGCTTACGTGGAGGCAGGGCCTCCAGACAGCCATGCCCCAGCGCTGACTGGAACACAGCAGTCTGAGGAGGGCAACCAGGTCAACCATGGTCCCCCTCGGTGCTTCTGGAAGAGTTTGGATCTGGGCATGCTGGGTGACTGCTGGAAAGAACAGAGGCCATTCCAGACCCAAGAGCCCTGCAGCTACAGGGATGCAGAGGACTGGGGCTGTGTGGCCCACAGGATGGGGTGGGGGGACCAGGGCGGCCCCAAGAGTGTGGGTGTGCCCCAAGGACCAGCCCCACGAGGGGTACTGGGTGAGGCAGATTCCTGTATCTCAAGCAGGCTCGTGTATGGATTCAAGCAGGCAGTAAGTGTGCACAATGGACAGGGGTGGAAACGGCCCACGTGTCCAGTCCACCCACCTGGTGGGATATTAGTCGGCCGTGAAAAGGAATAGCGCGCCATTGCTTGGTGCGCATGGATAAACCTGGAAGACATTGCCTGGAGTCAAAAGCCAGACACAAAAGGACGTGTGCTGTGTGATCCCACTTACTGGCAAATACACAGACCCAAAGTACTTTAGTGGGTTTCAGGAAGGGCACAGGGTGTGACTACTTACAGGTATGAGAGTCTCTCTCTGAAATGTTCTAGAACTGCATGGTGGTGATGGTTGTGCAACACTGTCAATGCACCTCACACCGCTGAACTGTGACTCAGGAACGGCTACAGTGTACACTTTATGTGAGATACATTTTACAAAAATAAATACACTCAACGGAAGCCCTGCACCTTGGCACTCTGACCCGGCACTGTCACCCTCCCCTCCCTCTGTCCCTGCGGTACATTGCTGCAGAATGAAGCAATGAATGAGGTGTTTATACCATGTAACACACATCATTTCATCCTCAGAACAAATTTGGAAGGGAACACTGAGTCAGAACTGCCCCCCCCAGGCCTCCTCCCAGTGGACCTTCACCCCACAGGGCCCCCAGCCAGCCCATCAGGTCCCCCAGCATTCTGTTCCCCACTAGGCCCCAGCCTCTGGAACGCAGCTCCCCATCTTTGGGCCGGATGCCTGCCCACAATGAGAGCCAGGAATGTGAGGACCGGCCGTTCCAGGAAGGCAGGGGGAGGGCACTTGAGCTGCCAGTGCCCCCAGCCCAAAGCCATGCCGGGCGTCCCACAGGACAAAGCTGGCGCTGAATCTCAAGCTGTTGCCAACCAGTGACTGCCTTTGGGCAAACCATGGGGCCCTCGTGGGGTCCCAGTTGGCAGGGACGAGTCAGCCACAGGCAGACCTGGGAGGTAGGTCCTGGGCAGGTGAGGGCAGGAAACCCCTGAGGCTCTGGACTGACCCCTGTCGTCTCCCCAGACAGACAGAGGGGACTTCCCTCATGCATCCCCTCTCCCCTTCACGCACAGAGCTGCCAGTGAAGGGGTGTGTCTGGCTGACCCTGACCTGGCCTAGCCCCACAGAGAAGTCAAGCCCACCCTAGCCAGCAGAGCTGTGAAGACTTTGAGGAGAACAGCAGGGCATCCAGGGCTCTCGGGCTGGGCAGGGCCTCCCAGAGCCCCTGCATGAATGGGTATAGCTCCACAGGAACCCTGGGGGTCCCCCAGGGTTCCACTCGGGGCTCCGGGCTTTGTCTGACACCGCCAGTTCTGGGTGCCACCCCCCAGCTGCCTGGAGCCTCCAGCTGCTCCCCTAGCATAGCTGGGCCTCTCTGGTTGTGGGCAGCCTCCCAAGGATGGGACTGAATATAGGGCCTTGGGGACACCAACACAGGAAGCAGAGGATGATGTTGGGCGGGGGGTGCACACTCATCCCCCCACCCCACGACACCGGATTCCCCCTCCCTGGCCATTCATTCGTTCCTTCGTTCAGTGGGGTGTCACTGGGGCCTGCAGGGGTAGGGGTATTGCTGAGCCACGCCCAGGGGCAGGGGGGTGGGGGATGGCAATGGGGAACCCGGGGTCCCCAGGTGGCCCTGTCCATTGCCTGAGCCAGGGTGGGGCCTCTGGGAAGGTGGTAGTGGTGGGGGTCAAGTACTCCCTGTGTTCACACTCTGGGAAACATCTGAATCAGGAGCAGCTCCGAGCCCTGGAGCCCGGTGGAGGTGGGTAGGCAAATTCGGGCTGGCCTGGGTCAGAACAGAGACCCCCTGCTTGGCCAGATGCTGGCACAGTCCCCATTCCTGACTCTCAGGCTGTTTCCTGAGGGTCAGTCAGATGGCACAAGGCTGCCCCAAGGAGCCCGGGCTCTTCCAGGTGGGGAAGGTCAGTGATTGAGGAGGACTTCCAGGGCCTTCTCTGAGCCCTCGGGAGCAGGCCTCCATGAGCAACTTAGACCGGAAGAGAAAATGTCACATGGGGTCCGCTTCATCACAGGGTCTGAATGCATTCACTACCACCGTACAAGCCAGGGAACGGCCGGCTGATGCCCAGAAGCACAGGCAGGGCCACCGCAGCCCGCAGGCACTAAGCCTGTGCCAGCTGGTCTCGCCTGGAGGCCAGGCTTCAGTACCCCATAATGCGTGAGCCCCCACCACTGCCACTCCACTTTTTGCCTGCCCCACTCTCCTGGGGAAGCTCTGCCGGGAGAGTGAGCAGAAAAGTGGGGGGGGCTTCAAGGGCCTTCTCTGCACTCTTGGGGTCTGGCATCCACGTGCAACTTCTGACCTGAGAAAGAGGACAGATGCTGTGGTCCCCTCTCCGCCCACGAAACCTAACCCAACCCACTGGGAGTGACCCTACAGGACCCAGAACAGTTTCTGAGGCTACATCTTTCCGGAAGCAGCCAGCCTCATCTTTCTCCCCGAGAACAGCTTATGGGTTTGATCTACTGCCCATGCTTCACCTACTGTAGGGCTCCTTCAATAGGGAAAGAATACAGAGACCATCAAGAGAAAGCCTACAGCCTCACCAAGACCCGCACAGAGGGTATGAGATGGGGATTCACAGGAAACCGGCAGCCAGAGATGCAAGATGCCCAGCCCTCCCACCCACCAGCAAGGCAGCCCAGGGATGGTGGAAGAGACAGGCAGAGCTGTGCCATGGGACAGCCTCTGGAGGGCAGTGTGGCCAATCGAGCACCTCTGAAGGTTCCTACCCCTTCACGCACAGCCTGGACCTGGAAGTGAGAAGGCATGTAGCAGGAACGCTGGAGAATATGCACCGCGGCTGGGCCTTTGCCACAGTGCCAATCCAGAACTGGATGATGACCCCCCCACACACAAAGTTCCCATCTACCCTGAACCTCTGAGTGTGGCCTCATCTGGACACACGTGCAGATGTAATCAGTTAAGAGGAGATTTCACGGGAGTGGGGTGTCCTTGTGAGCGGGATGCTTGGGCCCTCACATGGAGAGAAGGTGGCCATGTGATGAAGGCAGAGATTCGAGGGAGGCAACCTAGAGAGCCCAGAAGCAGGAAGGGGCAAGGGGGGCAGGCCGGTGCACAACCTTGATTGCCGACGTCTGGGCTCCAGGGCTGGGAGGGGTCTGCCAGCTGTGGTCTAGGTGACAGCAGCACAAGGATGCCAGACAGTCCCTTCAAAAGGCCTTTCCAGCCGCCGCCCCTCTATGGCTGAGAGCAAGGACCGTTGGTACCGCGCCTGTGGGATAGGGCAAGGAAGTGGGTGCGGGTTCAAGGCTGTCCCAGTGCAGGCCTCCACCCCTCCCACTATCTTTACTGGGGAAAGAGACCTTGCTGGAGGGGAGGGAAGGAGAAGAGGGCACCAGCCAAGCTAGGCTAGGGGAGCAGGGGCACCCTGGGCATCAGCTGGAGGGTGGGCACAAGGGTGGAGGCACCCCAGGAGCTGCAGGGCTGGGCGGCTAAGTTCCATGCAGCACTGTGCACCCTCTATGCAATCCCAGAAGTTCATGCCACCCTGTGCAGCCCACAAGCCTATGGTCAAGGCAGCATCAGAACGAGGAAGCTGCACCTTCAGGCCAGGCATCCCGACAAATGCTGTTGGCACTGGGCCATTTTACAAAGGGACCAAGGGACCCTGAGGTCCTCCCTTTCAGTCACACTTGAACCCCAGGCCCCACTGCCCCCAGAGCAGGCAGGTGGGGGAGCCACAGGGGCTGGAGTGCCCCAAGGCCAGCCAGGCGGGAATGACAGGAGGGTGGGGAGTCTGGCAATGACTAGGTCCCCGTCCCCCGCCCTGCAGGCATCAGAGGGACTACCCATTACTCAGGCTGACCAGACAGGGGGCGGCAGCACGGGCCAGCTCCCAGGAAGGCGGCGGCGGCCTGCGTCTCCAGACGGCCCGCGTCTCCAGACGGCCACCATTGCAGTCTCCACACGTGAGTCATCGGAGCCAATGTGTCAGGCTCGGGTCAGGGGGCCCCAGGTCACACCCTCTGTCTACTCAGGGCCGCACCCAAGGTCTGGGTAGACCCAAGAAGCAGAGACACACCCCTCCCTCTCCCCCCCATCCCTGTGGCAGGTTCTCCCACTGCCTGGAAGGGGCAAGGAAGTCCGTTTCCCATGGGGGTCTGCTTTTGGCTCACACCCCTGCCCAGGCCCCCCCCCTTCTCCTGTGCCTCCTGGAGCCCCCCTCAAGTGGAGTCCCCCTGCCCCTTGAATCTCTTTGGGAGGCCCAGCCCACAGCAGGGGTGGGAAGATAGTGTTCCTGAGGGGTGAGGGGCACAGGCACATGCAGGAGACGAGGGGGGGTGCTGCTGCAGGAAGGAGCTGCAGCTGTCAGCTGCCCTCTCTGAGGTGGGGTCTCTGTAAGACCCGAGTCTTCCAGGAGAAATGCAACTCCAACTCACAGTGCACACTGGTGCTGCCCTCCCAGCTGCTGCTGTCCCAGAGCCCATGGTGGCAGCCACAGTGTCAGTCCAGCTTGACCCCAAAGCAAGCCACATTCACTGCCATCGAGTCCATGCTGGCTCATGATGATCCTCCAGGACAGGGGAGAGCTGCCTATGTGGGTCCCCGAGACGCAAATTTTCACA